GTGAGGGTCTGTGATGGGTGAGGATCTGTGGTGGGTGAGGGTCTGTGGCAGGTGGGGATCTCTGTGGATGAGGGTCTGTGGGGTGGGTGGTGGGTGAGGGTCTTTGAGGGTCTGTGTGGTGCTTGAGGGTCTGTGAGGGTCTGCAGGGGTGAGGATCTGCATGGGTGAGGGTCTCTGTGGGTGAGGATCTGTGTGGTAGGTGGGGGTCTGTGTGGTGGGTGAGGGTCTGTGAGGGTCTGCAGGGGTGAGGATCTACATGAGTGAGGGTCTGTGTGGTGGGTGAGGGTCTCTGTAGGTGAGGGTCTGTGTGGTGGGTGGGGGTCTGTGAGGGTCTGTGTGGTGGGTGAGGGTCTCTGTAGGTGAGGGTCTGTGTGGTGGGTGGTGGGTGAGGGTCTGTGAGTTGGGAGTGGGATCCCTGTTCCCTCGTTCCACACCCTCTGTGCCCAAGGTGGACGGAGGGACCTCGCTTTTCCTCTGCCCCCCTGCTGTCCCAGCTCCTGCCTTTGCTGGGGGGTTTGGGGCTGCAGGGACAGCCCAGCCCCGACCCTTCCCACCCCACTGACCCCTCGACATGTCCCATGTCCCCAGACACCGACGAGTGCTCCATCGGGAATCCCTGCGGGAATGGCACCTGCACCAACGTGGTGGGAGGCTTCGAGTGCGCCTGCGACGAGGGCTTTGAGCCGGGGCCCATGATGACCTGTGAAGGTGACACTGCTGGGAGACTGTCCCCTCATCTGTCCCCTCATTCCCGGTGCCACTGGGCTGGGGGGGACCCTGCTGGGTCACTGCCCGGGCCGGTTCCAAGGGATGGTGTGGGAAAGCTCGGCTGAGGCTCGGCTCCTTCAGCACTGGGCTCCTTCAGCTTCCTCTGAGGCTGCAGCCCAGGAGGAGACTGGAGACCTGCCAAAATCCAGGAGCTGCCTCCTCAGGGAGCCAGGGCCCATCCGAGCTGCTGAGACACAGGGTGTCTGTCCCTCTGCTGAGAGTCCTGGTGTCTGTCCCTCTTCTGAGAGTCCTGGTGTCTGTCCCTCTGCGAAAA